ACATATTAATGTGATAATTGATCTAATTATCTGAGCATTGCAATTTACACAAAAATTTGCAGAAAAATTTGAGAATTTTTTATCATTCGAATGATATGAGATAAATTGATAAATGTAGAATTGAGATAAATCTGTAAAAAATTAGCAGCAGATTTAATGTTGATGAAAAGTGGGAGGTGATTCCAAACTTTTGGCCGGTAGTGTATAGATTTAAAAGAAAGCTGCGGAAACGTGTATTAAGTTTGTTGAATGAAACCGTCGCAAGTATTATACTTAGCAAAAATATCCGTCCGAGTGAAATTTAGGAGCGAATGAAAGAACCGTGACAAGTGATCATGATCTTTTTCAAATTACGTATCGAGGTCACTGATTCACGTGACTAAGGTATCCAAGAATGCACAAGATCTCCCGTGGTTGGTTAGAGCGCTCTAGAACACCGAAGATCAAGAGAGCAAAGAGTCGGTTTAAACCGCGTGCCCCGTCCCAACGTCGGCTCTATTAATACCCGCGCCTTGTCGTCGCGTCTCGAGAACGTGCGCATCGATATAGAGGCGTCGGTATGACGAGACCATACTTTTATCAAAAATTGTTCTGCTTTGAAGAAACGAGCAGATCACGCTAAAATCATCCTCGAATCAGTCTCGATAAAAATAAGTATATGTAAGAGGATGAAAAATCGACGAGAAAGATGGCTAAAAGAGTTCGAGTAATTTTAACGCGTTAAAAATGCAGCCATTACTGTGTATTCGGAGATGGTCTTACTAGAACGTAAACATCGAAAAATCAGCAACTTGTCGCAAACAAGGTAATCAGAAACACTGAAGCAGAAGGTTGGATTGAAGCGGTGCAAATTATCACGAAAGCTGCATGTGCTTTTAGTCGTACTAAAGTTTGTCCCTCGTTGAAAAGCTGTTATCTCACGACGAAAAATAGACGTGAACACAACAGGAGGAATGAAGAAAGGAGTAGCTGCTTTAAGTTAAAAGCCTTTAACAGGACATATCGTAGATGTCGTACAAGTGCATTCGCAGTCAATTATGTGATCAACTACAAGCATTCGCTTCATGAAACTATTAGGAACAAGTTAATAGGATCATTGCACCGTTCCGATGTACGAACAGTGGGTTATCGTAAACAGAAAGAGGAAAAATACAAACTGTCGCGGTTCTAATGGAGCAGTCCACAGATGTCGTGTGAGGTCTTAAGCTCGATCGGAGTTAGCGCAAATATCCAATCGACACATTCGCAAAGCTATTCCATCCGTGTAAAAGTTCTTTCATCCACTCGATAATTCGATAATTGATTAAGCTAGTTGATATAGTAGGCACTATCCTGATACATAGTTTGAAATTGGAAAGGAAAGAACGACGGACGAACGAGAATGTTAAGTTTGATCGCGATGGATGCGCCCTAGCCGAAAGCCATTTTCCTCGGAATCACTCACCTTTGAATGTGCCAGACGGTAAAAGTTATGTTGGCGTTAAAGTCCCGTTGAATTAAGATATTAGCAGCGAAATCAATGGAGGAATACGATCCGAGAAGGGGTAAGTTTGATTCTACACCGTGGTGAATTTTCACTTGTTCCTTTTCCACGACCACTGTACACCCTTTTCCGTTCCCCGAAATAGCCAGTTTCAAGCGAAAACACGCGGCGACGAGAAAAGCGTACAGCGTGTGGAGAATCGAGCAAGCTAACGGGCTTACTCTGCGAGGGGCACGGCACGTACTGGGGCTCCCTCGACCGAGTCCCGACTGATATCATTTCCAGCGGGGGACTGTGGGGTCGCCAGCTAGAACCCCACCAGGGGGTCTTCGTGCAACCCCCACGCGGTGTCGTAGTAGTCGTGTTCGCCGTCATGGTTGTGGCTCGTGTCGTGGCTCCACCGTTGCTAGCCTCTCGAAACCCTCTTCGTACATACAGGGAATAAGGGACCAGGATGTGTACGTATATTATGGGGAAAGAGGGCTCTCTCTTCTTCTCGCGTACCGCGATTCTGACTGCATCGTTTCCCCTCGCTCCCTTGCACTCCCGATCCCTCGCGTCTACGCTCCTTTAATTTCTCTCTCAGTTCTGCGCGCACTTTTGTCGCACCTGTCTCACTTTATTTCTCAACGACTTCTCTCTCCATCTCAACTTCTATCCTTGTTTCGCTCGATGTACTAGCTCGAAGCGTGCGTCCCTCTTTCGTTGTTCTCCTTCTAGCTTTACCAGTTCCATGTGTAAAGCACACACAACCACCAACACAGATATACATTTCTCTCCCCCATCCCTCGCTGTTGGCCCCCTCCCTTGGCGCGAGTCCCTTACCCCCTACGTATCCAGCAGCTTTATCCACCCTGAACCCTCCTATATACGAGGGGTTGCTTCTCGACAGCCCGATCGGACGTTCGCGAGAAGGGACCTTCCCGTCTGCCTCTTTGCGCCATCCTAACCATGCTTTTTTTCGTATTGCAGATTCGAATTTGTTTCTCTCCTTGAAAAACATTCGCCGTTTATATTTTAACTGTTACTCTTTATAGACATCCTTGCCTTTTAAGCTTTCAATATTTCGTCAATAAGTACAAATTTATCCCCCGGAACATAAAAATTCGGATTTTTAATTTCATTGGCTATCAGGTAGGTTATATTATCGCATAGTTATTTCTATAGACGCATTTGTTCGATACCCCGAATAGCCTTCTTCGTATTCTTCGTTTCATTCGAATACGTATGCTCTGTTACTTTCAAGTATCTTTAGCATAACATTTGCCATATCATCGTAAGGAAATTCGACTTTGCATCGCAAATAACTTAACTTTCAAATGGAAAAAACCAAAAATTCCAGGCACACGAGCATCGCTTTTAGTAAAGTTTCCAGAGATAGTATTATCACTGCATTGTTCGATTCGAAAAATGAACTTGCATAAAAGACCTTGGAACATGAAACTGCTCGTTGAAGAGTGTCGCAATACGATGAGCAGACTGCAACGGGCACTGACGTAATCATCACATGGGTACGTTTATATATACGTTCGTGTTCAATGCAGATGCACATGTAAACCATAATAGATCGTACTTCAATTCGTATCACGGCTAATAAAATTTGTTAAAAATCTTCCATCCTACCAAATTGCATCATTAAATGGCTTAATTGATACATGGACGGTAAACCATTAAATTTTATGTACCACATTAAACAAAAAATATGTTTATTTTTACTATATCTAACGTCCAAGAAATGTAAGTAAAACAATATCTTATTATAATAAATTAATTGTTCACGCTCGAGGTAACTGGGCGACCGATTCGGTGGCAGCAAGCGAATATCGATTCGTTGTTTTTAGGGGTAGTCCATCCGCGAACCCCACCTTTGTCGCTTCCTGATTCGAAAATTTATCTCTAATGAATTATTATTATGTATATTTTCATAAGTTCAATTTATTCCATGAAAAATAGAAAATAACAAGAACAAAGCAAAATTGGATAGAATATAACGAGAATGTTTCTGTACAAATTTTATTATCATAACACTGTTATAAATTTAATACAAAATATTACAAAATATTTTTAGATACTTCTGGACAAATATTGTCTCGTAATTGTTATCGACAAAAAATAATGCAATTTTTTATGAAATGGTACAATGAATTATGTAACATTATATCGTCACGAAAATGATTTAGAAATGTTTTACAAATTTTTAATAACTGTTTGCTCATTGTAAATGACTTAAAGCAGGGGTTGGAAACAGTTATAATATTGGTTTCGGTTCTTGAAACAGTTACGAGAACCGAAATAATGTTATAACTCTTATAGATATATTGTTTCTGACCCATATCGGTTTCGGTTTCGTTTTCAGTTTTTCAGAACCAATATTATGTCGGTTTCGTTATTTTTCTGTTCTGCATCGGTTACGGTCCGGTTCTACGTAATATACGAGTATAATATATATTTTCTTATATCGGTTTTATTTTGATTCTTATTGATTTTCTTATTGATTTTGCGGAACTATTAAAATGTATGAAATTCTTTTTGTGAAATCGATATGAAGAAAACGTAGGGATTCGCTAATTAAGCATCTATACCGACAGTGCCGTTTTTAAAAGAAATAAATGTAAGCGAAATTCATCGTTTTCCAAGCGATTCCATTTGACAACAAAATCATAAACAATTAAAATTCCTACAAACAATTTATAGAATTAATTTTTAAATGTAAATCTTTAAATATTTAACACCTTACTTGAAATGTTTAATACATATTGACAATGTCACAAAATCAATAAGAGAATACATAAGAATCGAAATCAAGCCGATATATATATATACACAATACTATGTATTATGTAGAACCGAACCGTAATCGGTACAGAACCGAAAAATAACAGTTACAGAACCGATATGGAACCGATATTATATCGGTTCTAAATAACCGAAACCGATCTGGGTAAAAACCGTTATATCCGTAATAGTTATATTTTTTCGGTTCCCATAAGTGTTTCAGTCAGAACCGATATATAACAGTTTGAAACAGTTATTTTTGAAACCGCTTCAAACCCTGAGATATAACTTAAAGATATAATTTAATTTAAACAATTATTGAAAAAAAAATTAATCGGAAAGCTGCCATAATTTAAGGAACATTTATCGCACAGTAAAGTAACTTTTTGCTATAATAAACAGTTTCCATAATTTACTAAACCGTTCAATTATTAAATATAATTTTGTCATTGTTATCACTTTTTGAGTTCATTATGCTATTATATATATTATCATGATAATAATGCTATCATATAATAATGATAATTATCACTTACAATTATGATGATTATAATAGCATTCAAGGCTATATGTTATTTTATTTTAATCAACTTTAATTAAATTCTTGTTGATCTATTAAAAGTAAAACACAACTGACACTAAATTATGTCGGTTTAATATTTAAATTGATTTATAAAAATATTCTTCCTTAAGTTAAATTTTAAGCATAATTAGTTATATCAATAAAATTATTAGTTATTCGTCAAGTCCATGTATAAAAATTGTTTGAAAATTTAATATTTTCTATAATTTGAATATGCGTTGGATCAGGACTACAAAAATATTTTAACAATTCGTCGTTAAATCCACAATCGCTCAAGTTTTCTTTGCCGAAAACATTTTGTGGAATTTTTGACGTATTTATCGATTCCTCTTGTTCTGTGAAAATACAAACTTTCATTGTTATATAATTGCTATGTATAAATGATTTGAGTTATACGAAAAAAAAAGAAAGAAACGATTTACCAAACACTTGTTTTACTGCTGAAAAGGAAGTTGTTGAATCTAATCGTGCACAACTTGCAGAATATTGTTCCAACTGGCTAGATTTCATTAAAGAACAGAGGGAGGGTAATACATGTGGTAAAAGAGGTCCTCTTAATTCCAAAGAAAAATATCTTTCATTGTCAACGCGAACTGTGCTTTCTTTAACCTTTATAAAGCGGAAATAATTTGTATTTCGTATTAAGTACTATAAGCATAAGTATAAAAGTATTATACCTTAATTGGTTTCAACGTTGCACCATGGAAAGCTACTGGTGCTAAAAGAGTTGGGGGTATTCCCGCTAAAGGACCGGTTGTAGTAATAGCAGATTTACAATTAATTAGAAAATTAAATAAAGCTTGTGCTTCAACACCTTTCACAAGAATAAGCGATTGTTTCATATTGTCTATTTCAGTTTCTTTCTCTAATGTCATTCTTG